GGCACACACAAGCCCATTAAGAAAAAGCTGTCACTCAAGGTGAAGCTACAAGGGGTTCCATTATCTATGGAACTAGACACAGGGTCTGCCTTTTCAATTATCTCCTTGCATACATTTAGGAAGATTTGTTCCGGTAGTGGAACTCAGGCCAAGTTAAGGCCTTCTGACATTGTGTTAACAGATTTTCAAAATTCAAGAGTGTGTGTTAAGGGGGAGGCCACCCTTAACGTGCAATACAAGAGTTTTGAAGGTCCACTAGACTTATTAGTAGTAGGGGGTGAACGAACGAGTCTCATAGGACTCGATTGGTTTGAGGCCCTGGGGATACACGTCACAGGACTCAACAGCTTACAAACACTCGACCTACAGGAAGTCTGCAAAGAATTTGCAGATGTTTTCAGCCCCCAGCTGGGCACATTCAAAGGACCCCCTGTGTCCTTAAAGCTAGACCCCACTGTCACTCCCATTAGAATTAAAGCAAGAAGGGTCCCTTTTGCTTTAAAGAGTAAAATTGACACTGAGTTAGACAAACTGATTCAACAGGGAATCCTAGAACCTGTTGATTCCAGTCCTTGGGAGACCCCCATTGTCACGCCTCTAAAGGCAAATGGGGACATTCGCATTTGTGCTGACTACAAATGCACTCTGAATAAGGCATTGCAGCAACATGCCTATCCTGTTCCTGTGGTCAGTCATATTCTGGCCTCCCTCAAGGGGGGGCGCGTTTTTGCAAAGCTTGACCTAGCTCAAGCGTATCAACAGCTGCCTGTTGATGATGATGCTGCTATAGCTCAGACTATTGTGACCCACAGGGGAGCCTTTAAGGTAAAAAGGCTGCAGTTTGGAGTGAATGTCGCTCCTGGGATTTTCCAAAGCGTAATGGAAAACACACTACGGGGTATACCAGGGGTTTGCCCCTACTTTGATGATGTCTTAATTGCAGGAGACTCCACACACATTCTAGCTGAAAGGCTAAGGGCTGTTCTGTTAAGATTCAGGAAGTCAGGCCTCAAGCTCAAAAAAGACAAATGCAAGATTGGGGTGCCTTCTACTGAATTTCTGGGGTTCAAAATTGATGCTGCTGGGATTCACCCTGCTGAATCCAAACTAACAGCTATTTTAGAAGCACCTAGGCCAAAGTCCAAGGCCGAACTTCAGGCCTTCCTGGGCCTCCTGAATTTCTACAATTCTTTTCTTCCTCATAAAGCTAGTGTAGCTGAGCCTCTTCACAGGCTACTAGACAAACAAGCAGTGTGGCAGTGGTCACAAACACATGAGGCTTGCTTTAACGAAGTCAAGGCCTTGCTCACTTCTAACAGTGTACTTGCACATTTCAACGAATCTCTTCCTGTGTGCATCGCATGTGATGCGTCCCCTTACGGGGTAGGAGCTGTCCTGAGCCACCTCAGGTCTGATGGAACTCAGGTTCCTGTTGCATATTACTCCAGAACATTGTCTTCTGCTGAGCGCAACTACGCTCAGATAGACAGGGAGGCTCTGGCTGTTGTTGCTGGAATTAAAAAATTCCACGATTTTCTATATGGCAGGCATTTCACGGTCTTTACTGACCATAAGCCTCTGCTGGGACTGTTTACCACACGTAAGCAGACTCCCCAAATCATTTCCCCTAGAATGCTTAGGTGGTCTATTTTTCTGTCTGCATATGATTTTTCTTTACTCCACAAGCCTGGGAAAGAAATGGGCCATGCTGATGGCCTCAGTAGATTGCCTCTGCCAGTAGTAGAAGCTGACCCTGCGCCAGCTGTCAACATTCTATCAATCCAAGCCTTGCCCGAGCTCCCTCTTTGTGCCAGGGATGTTGCCGCTGAAACAGGTACAGATCACACACTTTCACGTGTCCGTTCCTGGGTTTTGTCCGGTTGGCCTGAGCACTGCCCTAGTCCTGAGTTTCAGAGTTTCTGGTCCAAAAGAAACGAGTTGTCCCTTTCTCAGGGTTGTCTGCTTTGGGGAAACAGAGTTGTCATTCCCACCTCAATGAGGACTAGGGTCTTAGAATCCCTCCACGAGGGTCATCCTGGCATTGTTCGTATGAAGGCTCTTGCACGCAGCCACTTGTGGTGGCCTGCTTTAGATAAAGGATATTGAGGCTAAGGTGCACGCATGCCACCTGTGCCAACGATCTCGCCCAGAGATGCCCCAAGCTCCTGTGCATAGATGGGAGGAAACACAGTCCCCATGGTCTAGGGTGCACATTGACTACGCTGGGCCCTTTCAGGGCCAGTTCTTCTTGGTCCTTGTTGACAGCCATTCAAAATGGCTTGAGGTTGTGCCTGTCTCATCCACCACCACTGCAAAGACTATTCAGGTACTGAGGGGGATTTTTGCTGCACACGGGCTGCCAGATGTCATTGTGTCCGACAACGGCCCTCAATTCACTTCCTCCGAATTCCAAGCTTTCTTACAGGCTAACATGATTCGTCATGCCACGTCTGCACCCTTCCACCCGTCCACCAACGGTATGGCTGAACGTATGGTGCGCATCACAAAGGACGCCTTGAAAAGACTCACCTACGGGGACTGGCATCACAGGTTGGCTGACTTTCTCCTTTCTTATCGCACCACACCGTCCACTTCTACAGGGAGAAGCCCAGCTGAACTTCGCTGGGGGCGTCAACTTACTACTAAACTTGACCGGTTGCATCCGGACAGACTGCCTTCATCTACCTCACATCCTAGGGCACCTAGACAACTACTTGTGGGTGCCCCGGTTTGGACTCGCAATTACGGGCCTGGTCATACCTGGGTCCCCGCTTCTATTTCCAGGGTCACAGGTCCTCTCTCCTACGAGGTTGCCCTGGACAACGGTCGTGTCCTGCGTCGGCACATCGACCAACTCCGCCCTAGGCGGGACTTTTCAGATGAGACTCCTGGGTCTTTTCCAGGGGGGGAGGGGGACCCTTTGGAGCAAAGGGAAGGGCACGAACTGCTGCCCATCTCCACTGATGGAGCCACAAACGGCCCATCCCAGAGTTCCGCGAGAGCTCCGAACAAGAATTCTATGAGCCTACCTAACTACCAGGCATCCACGCCTACTCCAGCCAGGGAGTCACCCCGGGGGCATACTCACTTTCCACACACATCACACAGCACTCCAGTCACGGAGGATACCCGGGGGCACCCCAACAAATCATTCCCCGCAAGAGAGCTGGCACACAATTCCCAAGGTTGGCCTGACCTTACCCCAAATCCTACAGGGGGTCAAACATACACAGAGATAGTCGAGGAACCAAGTCCCGACTACAACACCTCTAGCACAAATCAGGGAACACCTGAGTTTTGGGAAAGTACAGAAACCCACACAAGCCCGAACACAGAACGGGGTTCAGGGAATGGACAGTCTCCTGACAGGTCTTGGACTGACCTAGGAGGTTCTACAGAGACGCCCAGCAGTGGCTATCACTTCAAGAGGCCCGAGGGTCTGCAGCTAGGCAGGTCAACCAGGTCACAAAGTGACAGAAGCCCTGGCCTGACGAGCCCGGTGGGCAAGCAAGCAGGCCAGGCATCGGGGCACAGTCCTTGGAAGGCACCAAGGCAAAATAAGGAGAACAGGCTCACATCTCCCTCCAGTCAGGGAACTCATGCTAGTAACCCAGAGCTGAGAAGGTCACAGAGAGCAAAGAAGTCTCCTAAATACTTAGAGGATTACATAACATTGCTGGCTAAACAAAAGCCAGGTAACGATAGGAGCACTGAGAAGCAGAACACTGCATAAAATAAATGATTATATGTTGGTAGTAGTTTTAGCCCGGGGGAAAGGGGTGTTATGTCCCGAGCCTTGCAAACGGCTCGGGCGTTTGCAGGCAGTCCCGGGCAGGTGCAAAGCTGCCCGGGACCAGACAGGCTGTCGCCAGCGCCGTGCGCATGCGCGGGTGCTGGCGCGGGAAAAGTATCACATTTACCCGGGAAGCGTCTATATAAGAAGCTGGGAGGTTTTGGGAGCTGCTGAAGCCATCTACTTGTAAGCTGAACGCTGAATAAAGGAAACTGAGAACTTCAACTGCTTCTCGTGTCTGCTTCCCGCCAAGGACTCAACAGTACTGTCCGTCCCCCCAAAGTAATCAAAACAGAAAAAGGTATGGCTGCATGAAGCCCCTTATCGCCAGAAAAAAATAATGTAATGTATTCATCTGTGACAGTATCAACTACAGAGCTGGCAGGACCCATTTTAAACAAACCTTCTGTACAACACAAGATTACTGCTTTCTTAAATGGAAATTAAAAAAAAACAGTTTCAAAAGAGCACTAACCTATGTGGCTTGATGAGTGGTTTGGAGGTCAGGTGGCTTTGATGAAGCTGCATGCCCAGGTTCTCCTGCAGCCAAAATAACATAGCCACAAAAGTCATTGTCTAGTGCTGCGGTGTCCATCCTTGGCAATGTTAAGACCTATGGACTTCAACTCCCAGAATTTCCCAGCCAGCCATGCTTTGTGGATTGGACAGAACCAGTAAATTACTATATGTTTCTGCCTCTAAGTTATATCAGATGCTGTTATTTCAACAATTTGTTTATTGTTCACTGCTTTTTTTTTTCTGATGTTGGAAATCACAAATTCTCCATTATGTAAAAATGTGAATACTTATATCCATGTTGAAAACTGGAGTTGGAGACCATTGCCGTGTGGAGGGCATCCAGGGGTGAGTAGCTTCATTTTATAAATTGCAGTGCTTTTAAAAAGAATTTCATTAGTCTGGGGCTGAATATAAAAGGGCAGATTTGACCATGAAAAGAGGTGCAGTTTGTAAAATTGTAATTCCCCATCCTGGCTGGGAAATTTTGGAAGCTGAAGTCCATAGATCCTAAAGTTCCTTAAGCTGACATCGTTATGAAATGTATTTTAAATGATGTATAATTTAAAGAAATGTAGCTTTTATGTTTAATGTAACACATTCTGATTGTCTGCTTTCTATAAGAACAGATCATTCTTTCTTCATTTTCTATCACTGTATATTTGTGATGGCTAAATACCTTTTCTTCCAGTAGTTTTGCAGTTGCTGGCCCTGGCTGCTCAGCCAACAGTCCTGAGTCCTGTAGCCCATTTTTTCACCAGATGTCCAGGAACTCCAACTCCTAGTGTGGTCCTCGTTGACTGTGGTGATGACCAAGCTGGTATGGATTTGTGTAATTTATGTCTCAATGCATTTTTATAGGAGAAACATGTTTATCTGATTCCTCTGATGAGATTTCTCCAATATGATTGAACCTCTAATCATCTTCCTCAGAGCCCCACAATCATGTTAAGGTAGTGTCTCACTTGGTGGTGGTGGTGGTGGTAGTGGTGTGTGTGTGTGTGTGTGTGTGTGTGCGCGCGCGTGTGTATAAACTATATATAAATATATACACACACACTTACACAATCATCTCCAGCAATTGGAAGCATTTCCCCTCCCCCATTCAGTCTCTCTCTATAATCTTAATAGCTTTCACAGCAACATGTATCCATTTTATCTCATTCTTAACAGTCCAATTTTGGGGGAAATGGCTTGTCTTCCCCCCCCCCAGCACTGTTGATCTATTTTTGGTATGTTTGCTCTCCCTTTTCAATAATTCTCATTCTTGTTGAGGGAAGAGAGGTGGGAAGGTTTAAGTATTTTTCTTACTTAGGTGTGTTTTATCACTTTTTTAAAATTACAAAATGTCTTTCTCCTAAGTGACAGAGCAGTAACAGCAGTAGCTGACAAATGTTGGCAAAAATACTCATTTAAGGCAGTACAAGCTGATTTCCCTTTACCATGATGAGGTTTCATGCTGCGGAGGCAACACAGTTATTATTGTCGAGGCAAAGCGGCAACACGAATATCTTTCACTAGGCGGTTCACAATGCCTCCAAGTCTTGAGAATAGCTCCAGTGAAATACTGGATATTGAAAATATGGAGGCCTTTGTGGAGAGGCAAAGCAGAAGAACGTGGCCTCTTCATTGTACTAATACCAGGGGTCTTCAAACCTGGCCCTTTTATGACTTGTAGACTTCAACTCCCAGAATTCCTTAGCCTGGCTGAGGAATTCTGAAAGTTGAAGTTCACAAGTCATAAAAGGGCCAGGTTTGAAAACCCCTGTACTAATAGGAGTTAGGACACTCCATTTCTCAGAAAACATCTTCAGGGAAGTCCTTTGCTTGGGCCTTTATTGGTTAGAAAAATCACACGACCCTCGTGTAATTGTCCACACATAGATGAAGTAATGAAAGCAGAAGAACGTGGCCTCTTCATTGTACTAATACCAGGGGTCTTCAAACCTGGCCCTTTTATGACTTGTAGACTTCAACTCCCAGAATTCCTTAGCCTGGCTGAGGAATTCTGAAAGTTGAAGTTCACAAGTCATTAAAGGGCCAGGTTTGAAAACCCCTGTACTAATAGGAGTTAGGACACTCCATTTCTCAGAAAACATCTTCAGGGAAGTCCTTTGCTTGGGCCTTTATTGGTTAGAAAAATCACACGACCCTCATGTAATTGTCCACACATAGATGAAGTAATGAAAGCCCGTGACCTTTTGTCTTTGACACATATTCTTAAAATCGTTTTTATTTTGGAATGAAGAATTTGTACTTCGTGACCAGCTGCCATTCTTCCCGTTGGATAGAAGAAAAGCCAAAGGTACAGCTACATGGAGGAATCCATTCCTGCCAAGAGAAGTTCTACTATTCTGCAGTTTCAGAAGAGATTCCAGGAGTTCCCTACTGTTGATGGTTCTGGATCACTGGATGACGAGCAGCTGCCACAAACTTTAGAGTTGGAGGAAAAGGATTACCTAGGCTCTGCAAGGATCTCTGCCTCTTCCTTGAAGAGGGGGAAGTGAGGGGTGGTGGTGATAGAAGACTTCCTTCTGTGGAACTGAAGCAGCAATCTATTAGGAGTTGCCTTAGGTGAAATCTAAATTGAATTTCTCAATTAATCAATTAAATGTCCTGCTTGGGAGCACTCCAGGGGCATCTGGTTGGGCGCTGTTTGAAAAACAAAATAATGGCTTAAAGTGGATCTTGGCCTGATCCACTAAAATCATTCTTATTTTATATTTGGTCAAGTTTGCATTGCATTTAACATACCTGTATCAATCTAGAGAATTTGCTAAACCTTTCAGTCTTTCTTGCTGGGTTGGGTGTCTGACCTGGGATCACCCACAGAGTAGCTTTTAGGAGGTGCTTGTCCAACCAGATGAAATTGGCTGGAAATGAATACAGTTTAAGAAATTGTTGTCCAGATTTCAATCCATTCTTCAGCTTTGTCAGCAATGCTGGACAGCTGTTCTGTCTGGACAGTGGTCACCATGGGTCCCAACTGAGGATCTCCTTGCTTTTTAAATTTGCCCTATCTACTCTGGGAGAGCAAGTGCCAGACACTTTCTTTCCAGGAGTGGGTCTGTGAGGAGGTAGAATTACATTGATGATTCCCCCCACCCCGCTCCCCTGAATCTCCAGACTCCTACTTCCGCAATACAGTGGACTGGTAGAAAAAAGAACAAACAATTTTATGTGTGTGTGTTTGTTAGAGTTGAGTGCTTCCCTTTTCCTATAGAAGTGAAACTAGTTTTACTATCCTTCCTGTTATTTGGTCTAGAAGGGGAAATTTGCAGGCAGGACCATATTTTCACTGCTTCATAAATAAACCTGTAAAAAAAATAAGCATTTCTCCAGGCCATTGGTGACAGTGAAGGAAGAAACATCAAGCGTTTAATTAGTCCCTCTGACTGACTGTTGTTTGCCATATCCATTGGTAAACCACTCACTCATGTGGACAGCAACTGGTGAACTGGTGCTTCAGTGTGCCCCTTATTTGAGTTATAGAAAGAATCGGTCTCTACATCTCTCTCACAATGCACAGAAGAGTTCTGGTTTTATGTGGGCATGTTCTCCATGGACACAGATGTCCCAAATATACCGTATATTCCAGCGTATAAGGCAACCCGGCGTATAAGATGACCCCCATCTTCGGCGCCGAGTCACATGCCTAGAAAGTCCTCTTATACGCCGGAAACTACCATTATTTCCGGCGTATAAGACGACTCAGCATATAAGACAACCCCTGTCTTCGGCGCCAATTTTAAAGCTAGCGAAAGTCGTCTTATATGCCGGAAAGAACGGTAGTTATGGAAAAAAACAACCCATGACCATTGGAATTTAAGAGAGGGGTCATTCTAGCTGCTCCATTTAATGACCGATAATAGTAGAGAATTGTCTGATTTGAACTGTAGCCCAACATACTTGCTTTTTCTACATTAGGGGAATTCACATGCATTACTATTCCCACACTATCGACTGTTATTCCAGGCAGATGGCGATTTTTCTGTTTTTCTTAGTCTTCTGTCTTTCTGTAGCAGAACATCTGAGTCCCCATAGGATGGGAAACTCACACCTCTCTTCCCAGAAGCCTTCTGGATCTTCATGGGGGGGTAGGTGTCTATCTCTATTCTATCTATCTATCTATCTATCTATCTATCTATCTATCTATCTATCTATCTATCATCAATCATTTATCATCATCTATCATCTCTCTCTTATCTATCTAGTAATATCTATATCATCTATATCTATGTATCATCATCATCATATCATCATCATAATCTATATATATCTTCTATGTACCTATCTCACAAAAATGAATGCCATACAATAAAATCATAAAAATAATTTCAGAAACACTCTACAATTAAAACATTAATATTATTATATAAAAACCCGGAATGGCTAGGGAAAGCATGCGATGTTGCATATATTATAGCCATTTCATTAAGTCCTCATTTCTAGGAGATTCTCAAGTCTGCTTACATTATCAGGATTTAAGGGATTTCTAAAAGGACATCATGAATGGGGCATCTTCAAGGATCATCTTGCTTGAAGGGGATGATATTCCATGGGGCAGGGCCCATGGTAGGAAAGGCCCATCTTCTGGGTTCCACTAAACATAGCTCCTTACAGATGGAGTGCATACCCCTTCTGCTAGACAAGATGGATGGGCAGAAATATTTGGGAAGTCCTTCAAATGACCCATCCCCATGCTATGAAGGGCTTTAAGAGTCAAAACCAACATCTTGAATTGGATCCAAAAGCAAATGGGCAAGTAAAGCAGCTCACAGAGTAAAAGTGTAAATGCCGTTCTAGGGATATACGTAACTACTCATGCCATTGCATTTTGCACCAGCTGAAGTTTCCGCCTACTCCTCAAGGGCAGCCTCATGTAGAGACATCACATCATCCATCAGATGATCATGCATGAGTGACTATGACTCCCGATTCAGGAATGGGTGCAACTGGCTCACAACACAAAGGTATGCAAAGGGTCTCTTATCCAAAGCTACACCCTTGCTCCAGATTTGGCCCAACTCTGCTTGATCTTTCAGCATGAAAAAAGGCATTATGGTAAATCCTTTTGTGGGGCAAAGCTTGAAGATGCCCCAAATCTCAAGGCCTGACACCATCAGCCCCCGCATACAGAGGCCAGCAAGCACATGGGGGGCGACAGTGTCTGTCAGCAGCCACAGCATGCCGGCCCCTCGACCAGCACACTCAGGCTCCGCAGCCCACCGCCAGCAGTTCAGGGAAGCCGCCTCTGATCTGGATGGCTGACTGACAGCTGAGGAGGCAATGCAGTGGGTCGTGCTTGGGAAAAGGAGCATGCGAGGCCAGGAGGGATGGAATGGGGGGGGAGGGAAACCAGCTGTGCTGGGATGCATCCGGCCACGTGGGACCTCAGCGAGTTAGCGGGTGGTTGGTTGAAGAGGGACGGTTGCCATCTCTGGGGCATGGCACGTGTGCCCAAAGGGCTCTGAGTGCCGCCTCTGGCACGCGTGCCATAGGTTCGCCACCACTGTTCTAGACACTAGGATAGGACATCCACAGCACTGCTTAATTTGCCAGGGGCAGAGAAGTGTAATTGGATATCATCTTCATATTGACAATACCTCACCCCATGCTGATGGATGACGCTCACCCAGTGGATTCATGTAGAAGTTAAATAGGAGTGGAGGGAGCATTGAGAGCTGTAGCACCAAAGGTGGGACTTCTGCCCCCATCCCCATTCACCACCAACTGGAATCGATTTCAGAGAAAGAAAAACAAAGAAAGCTCCGCTCCTTTTTGTTTATCATATGGAATTTCATCACTTGGATATGCCCACCATTTTGCATCATTCACTACCCCTGAAAATGCCCCCTGCATAAACCTGACTTAGAGGTAATTGGTTTTGTGTTGCCTTGAGATTTGGGGCATCTTCAAGCTTTGCCCCACAGAAGGATTTACCATAATGCCTTTTTTCATGCTGAAAGATCAAGCAGAGTTGGGCTGAATCTGGAGCAAGAGTGTAGAATACACAATCATGCAACCCTTGGCGTGAATAATTCCAAGGCCACCAGTTTTAATTTTAAGATGCATGGGAAGGAGGTTAATGCTGTTGCTCACCTTTGACAAAGCCAACTATGCATGAGCAATTCATCCCCGATCGCGCCATATGATGCAAGTTAAAACGTTGACGCTCATAGGTTTAAGTGCATACGCTCATCTCAATTATGAAAGATAGCAGGGTCTTGCCATTTTTAATCCAAAACAGTAGCTGTGTAAAACAAGGCATTAAACTGCTGCCTGATGCAAGTCAGTGGGGAAAGCATAGCTAGGAGATTTTTTGAAAAATGGGAATCGGTGACAGACAAACATAACAAAGCACCTTTGCAGAACTTGCACATGTTGTGATTGGAGAGGCATTGTTGCCCTGGGCTTTCTTAACTATAATTAGATTAAAGACAACTGGAGGGGAAAACCCTTTAAGTGGAGAATAACAAATGAGTTCTCAGGGCAGAAAGTCCGGTCATTCACCGCCCTTGATCTGTGCACACCCATGTGGGTATTTTCCTTTTTTTTTTTTTTTCCCTTTTCCTCTGATGTCGATGGAGCAACCTTTTGACTCAACCAGATTGAGAGTTTCTCTATTGTGGAGCTGTTGCGGCTGCTGCCACGGAGCTGAAGCTGACGTTGTTGATCTTGTTTTACAGCAGCTTTGCCTGTTGTTCAGGGAACAGAATGTTCTCTTCAAGTGAACCGAGGTTGAACTTCCCAGCCCACTTGGTCTCCGAAATCACAAGGGGAAAGAGAAAGATGGATTTTTTTTTTTATAAAAAGGGATCGGTTTTAATTGAATCTTTTAATATTCCATCCCTTTCCCATCGACATTGCAACAAGAACACACATTTGAAATCTCATGCTTTAAGGGGAATATAACCTACTTGCTGATCAAAAGTAGCTCTCCTGACTTCCTTTCCCATGATCAGATTGCCACTTCTTTTCCTCTGCCATAATCTCTTCCCATCCTTCTCAAAACTGGGACTGCTAGGGAAACTCCCATTCATGAATCATGCGTGGGAAGAGAGGAGACGCTAACCTCTCAGAGGCATCTTGATCTGCCAAAACAGCAAAAAGAATTCCAAAATATTACAAAGCCACTTACAATCCTTTGCCGGGCTGGTCCATTCCTTGAAGGTGAAGGAACAGCCTTGGTGGTGCAGCTCCCATCTCAAAAAGCAGTTGAATGAGATCAGGCCTACAGCGAGGCATTGTAATTCTTTCCCTCCCGTGTTCTTCTCCTTCATTAAAATGGTTTGAACTGACTACAGGTAGTCCTTGACTTACAACCAAAATTGAGCTGAAAATTTCTGGCTGTGGAATTCTGGGAGTTGAAGTCCACATACCTTAAAATTGTCAAGGTTGAGAAACACTGTGCTAAAGTGAGACATCTGTTAAATGAATTTTGCCCCGTTTTATGACCTTTCTTGTCACAGTTGTTAAGTAAATCACCGCAGTTGTTCAGCTAGTAACATGGTTGTTAAGCGAGTCTGACTTCCCCATTGACTTTGCTCGTCAGAAAGTCTCCAAAGGTGATCACATGACCCCCACATGACACTGCAACCGTCATGAATAGGAATCAGTTGCCAACTGTCTGAATTTTTGATCATGTGACCATGGGGATGCTATAATGGTCGTAAGTGCGAAAAATGGTCATAAGTCACTTTTTTCAGTGCCACTGTAACTTTGAAAGGTCACTAAATGAACTGTTGTAAGTCAAGGACTACCTGCGTATGATTTAGCTCATGGAAAAGGTATCAAGTTCAATGCCATCTGAAGGATGAAATTTGACTGGGAAGGCAGAATGAAGAAACATATTCCTGATCTTAATTGCCCCTCCCCCATGGATACCAATACCTCTTGTTTTTTTTCCCTAAAGAATCCTAGAAAATGTTATTCTACGGATTATATATACTGTGTTCTTATACCTCTCCAGAGGATCACTTTTTTGCTATTTCAGGGTTCAGCAACTGCATTAAATTTAAGGTGCCATACTCACTGCATGAATTATTTGTGGATATATAAGGCATATGGAGATTATATCTTTAGTATTTCCCTTTAGCATTCATTCATCATTTGAATTAAAACACATAGACTGTGATTCTCAAATACTCAGTTCTGCCACACACTTGGATATCAAGCCTTTCAGCCATTTATTTCCATGGTTACCAAATTTGTGCATTAGTGTAGAGTCACTTTTCCCAACTTGGTGACCTTCAAGTATGTGAAAATGTAGACGAACGTGATTCAACCAGAGCACTCATGTAAAAGAACTTGGCTTCCCAGTCCTATGTCTAATATTTCTGATTGTACTTCTTAGTAATGTGTTGATATCATGTATTTTTTATTACTGGTTTTTCTTTATCATTACACTGAAGTTATAGTTACTTGCATGGAAAATCCTGATCTCTGTAAAGCTCAATCTAACCATTCATTATTGGTTAATATTCAGGTCAACGTTTCTCAACCTTAGCAACTTTAAGATGTGTAGAATTCAACTCCCAGAATTCCCTATCCAGCAAGCTAAGAGTGGACTACTTTAGTTTAAAAAGGAATAGCAAAGCATGTTTTATACTTGCAAAAACAGATGATGATTATCCATCAAAGTCTTATGATTTCTAGAATGTTTACTTTTATGTGACACCCACATTTTTTCTCATGTCTTTTTTTTGCCATATGTCTGTTCTTTCTGTTATTTGTTGACTTCTGTATTGTGTCATATATTGGCAACTATTGACACATGAATTCAACAAGTGGGTCTTTGTATTCGTAGATTATTTGAGCATCACGGGGCACAAAAATGTATGAAGTTGGATATATACATTGCTCACAGCTAACACTGCGAAGACTGACCTAGAATTCTAGAATGTCTAGGTAAGATCTTCTTAAGACATATATAAGCTGCCGGATAAGCATTTGTCATGCCTGGGGGATCATCATTAACTTACCAAGAATATTTGTATTATTAGTACCACTTTATTCTGGTTGCATTTTTCCCCCATACACTTAGATTTTCAAGTATCCGTCAGGGTCAGCATTTTTGTGGATTTCATTTCTCACTGACCTTTACATGTGTTTATCTTTGAGAGCAACCAATCATGCATATTAGGAAGTAATATCTTATAATATAAATTCTAAATAAAATGTATTATCTAGATACAAACAAAGATAATCTCCCCAAATTAACACTGCTGCATCTTGAGAATCCTTTTTAGAATAACAGGTTTGATCAGTTCAGCCAGTTTAGCCAGCTAGTCCTGTCAATGTTGCATTTTTTTCCCCAATGACTTAGAATGCCTGACATGGAACTATGGTTGTGTAAAGAGATGATCAGACAAGGACTTCACTATGAAATTGTTCTATGTCATTCATGGATTTTTAGCAGGAAAAAGTGGGAGGGCATCATCCCAGTCATATTATGTTCCCTTATTAGTGGTGCTCCTGGGATGAATGAGTGAAGTGTATCAGGACTGAACACCAAGAGCAAGTACTCCAAATAGGATCACCCAACATATGAAGATCATCTCAGCTACCCAGTCAAAGCAAGCAATTATCTATATTGGGCAGTAGCAATGTAGGAAGATGCTGAATGCTGAAATGCGGACAATATTTTAGTAACAACAAAGGCTTTTCATATGGCATGGAAAAATCCATAGAGAAGATAAAGTGGTTTTTAATGTAGTGCCAGATGATGGCCCTCAGGTCAGATGGTACTCAACATGCTACTGAGAAAGAATTGAGGATCTCTCATGCTACTAATGGTGTCTATGATGCAGCCAATTTAAAGCCTTCAGGACATTTGCTTTGCTGATGTTACCATGCAGGAAAAGAGAATCCAAAGCTGTAAAAACAAAATTATAGTGGAATCATGGAATGTAAGAAACATGCATATAGGAAAGCACAACACAATGAGAGATTACAATGAGAAATCTGCTACACATTGCCATCATATTACAAATTGAAAAGGACTGGGACTGGACACTTTGTTAGAAGATCAGTTGGTTTCAGTGGGATTCAGCCGGTTCACACCGGTTCAGTAGCACCGGTAGCTAAATTTTGAGTTTGGAGAACCGGCTGAACCCATGCTGCTTTTGGAAGTCTGTTCTAGGCCTTGGAGGCCTGGAGGAGGTCTCCCAGGCCTAGAAAAGCCCACAGGAAGTGCATGGATGTCACTTCTGGAAGTCCATTCTAGGCCTCGAAGGCCCAGGCCTGCATCCACACAGAGAATCTGATGTTCAGGTATTTGAATCCCACCACTGGATGGTTTACTATTCAGAACACACACACACACACACACACACACACACACACACACACACAGAGAGAGAGAGAGAGAGAGAGAGAGAGAGAGAGAGAGAGAGAGAAAGAAAGAAAATGCTGCTTCCTTTGTCTGAAAACACTAGTAAAGAGAGTTCTTAGTACAGTGCAGTCAGTAATGGAGCATTGCAAATTAATTTCTGCAGACAACTCTTTAAAATAACATTTATTTGAGTTTATGTTCCAATAATTGATACTAAACAAGAGGAAGGTGACAAATTTAATGGTCAAGTTTAATTTGAAATCAACAGAATGTGAAGCAAGAGATGTTGCCTGTGATTGGAAATTGCTAAGCCAAAGCTGAAAATATTAAGAAGGAAAATGTGGTTGCATTACATAGCCTACCACAGAGTAATGAAACAGAAGAATTAATTATCAGTTTCTGCCAATACAATTATTTCTTCAGTACTAACATATTCTTCAAACAACCAAAACAATACAGGTAGTCCTCAACGTATGACCACATTTGAGCCCAAACTTTCTGTGGCTAGGTAAGACATTTGCTAAGTGAATTTTGTCCCATTTTACCATTTTTCTTGCCACGGTTGACAAGTGAATCATTGTTAAGTTAGTAACACGGTTGTTAAGTGAATCTGGCTTCCCCATGCTTGTCAGAAGGTTACAAAAGGGGATCACATGACTCCAGGACATTGCAACACCAATAAACATGAGTCAGTTACCAAGGATCTGAATTCTGATCACATGAGCATAGGGAATGCTGCAAAGGTTGTAAGTGTAAAAAATGGTCATAAGTCACTTTTTAAAAATGCCGTTGTAACTTTGTACGGTCACTAAGTGAACTGTTGTAAGTCAAAGACTACCTGTACACATACAGTACACATGGCTATCAGCAGGGGAAGCACAAAAAAAATAATCAAATTGATTATACTATTGATACAAGGAGGTGAGACAGTTCAGCTATAATGGCAAAGACATCACCAAGGGCTGCTCGTGGGATATGTCATGAACTGCTCACTTAACCAAGCTTAAAGTGGAAAAACAAACCGAAACATTTTCCACACAGTATGAGCTTGGACATATATTAATAATTTTCAAGAAATTGAAAAAAAAATTAAAAAGAAATGGAAAGAAATCAGGAATTGCTATGAAGTCCTGAATACAGGTAGTGCTTGACTTACAATTATTACAACAGCTCTGAAAAAAGGGATTTAAGACCATTTCACATAGCGCCATTGCAGCATCCCCATGGTCAAGGGATCGAAATACGGATGCTTGGCAACTGGCATGTATTTATGACGGTTGCAGTGCCCCGGGGGTCATGTGATCCCCATTTGCAACCTTCTGACAAGCAAAGTCCATGAGGAAGCCAGATTTATTTAGCAACTGTGTTACTAACTGAACAGCTGCAATGATTCACTTAACAATTGTGGCAAGAAAAGTCATAAAACGGTACAAAACTCACTTAACAACTATCTTGCTTACCAACAGAAATTTTGGGCTCAGTTGTGGTAATAAGTCAAGGACTTCCTGCGTGCCCTGAAGTTCAACAGGCTTCTACCTTCCTGGTCTTCTGTAAAGCACTGAAGACCTGGCACCCGCCCCCTCAAGTGTGCGATAAAATGAAGTGACTGCATGTCAGGAGCTTAACTTGGCACCGTTTTTGTTTAATGTGCTTGCTTTTAATAATAGCTTTAATATGACTTTTAAGTTATTTTAATTTTTGATTGGGAGCCTCCCAATGTTTGTTGTAAGATGGGCAGCTATATAAAAGTTTGAAATAAACTAAAATCCTGACTCTCATTCATAGGGAACTAGAGGAATTGTGGAATTAAAGCAAAGAAGCTTGTTAAGATGCATGTGAAAACAAACTGACAAAGAGAAGAGATGTCAAAGCCAAGAAAGACAAAGATTGAAGAAAGGAACTTTACAAAGAATTTCAGGTATCTGAGGGAAGACAAAAGGGCCAATGTTACAACATCTGTACTACATCTTTTCCCTTTAAGAGGGAAAAAAGAAATCGAAAAACAAGGAAAATCTTCCAAAAGATCTGCAAACAAAAAGAGATTCCAAACTCAAATTAGTACGCCAAAAGATACCAATTACATAGTAACAGATTTTTAAAAATCAAATAAAGATAAAAGGAATATAATTAAACATTGTACAGGAAGAATGTCGTTTCTTTATATGAACCTCTAATACAGGAGTTGTCAACTATGGCCTCTTTATGATCTGTGGACTTCAACTCCCAGAATTCCCAAGTCAGCCATGTTCTGGGGGTTGAAGTCCACAGGTCATAAAGGGGCCATAATTGCCCACACTTGCTCTAATACTAACAGATAGGTCTGAACTTCATCAAATTGTGAGATTACAGGAATTGGTGGAACATCTACACAAACATGGCAAGCATCAGAATAAGAATTGTTAAAGCTTCTAACTAAATAATGCCAACAAATCTGGAGAATGACACAGTGACCAACATTTTGGAAGAGGTCCGTCTATATACCAATACCAAACAAAGGAGATTTAACAGATTGTGCAAAGTATTATAAAATATCCTTCGTTTCACATCCCAAAGGTGCTTTTTTCACAAGGCAACTGGACTTCCTAGTTTTTCTGGAAGATGTTTTGCTTCTCATCCAAGCAGCTTCTTCAGTTCTGACTGGTGGTGAGGAATGGCAGGATTTATACTCCTTGCAGGCACTTGGTCATTTGCATTCTTTTAGTGAGTCGTTGCAGCCCCTGGAGGCTTATCTGTGACATCAGGGTTACCTGAGTAGTACAAATGGGTGTGGAGCCTTCTTAGAACTGTTGAAAGGACTTTGTTGTAGACTGGAGATAGATAATGTCGGATCCCTCCCCCCTATGTTGAGAGAAGGCTGTTCAATTTTGACATAGATCAGTGGTGGCGAACCTATGGCACGGGTCCCAGAGGCGGCACTCAGAGCCCTCTCTGTGGGCACACGTGCCGTCACCCCAGTCCTAGGCCTTCAGCTGGATTTTATAAAACCTTTTCGCTTTAGGCCTCCGCCGCCATATGCAAAAAAAAAAAAGGTTCAATCAGTCAATTTCAACTTCTTGCAGAAAAAAAAAAGAACTTGCAAAGTTGGAATTGATTGATTGAACTTTTTAGTCCTACCCAGTCTGCCATTACCATTGCAGCCACGCCCACCCAATGGGCCACACCCACCCGGCACTCAACAATGCAAAGTGGGTTTTGGGTTGCAGTTTGGGCACTCAGTCTCTAAAAGGTTCGCCATTACTGACATAGATGGTCTCTTTGACCCCTCTTTCAAACTAATGGTCATCTCTGTGCAAAATGTGGACTTTGTAGTCTTCGAAAGAGTGGCCTTCATTTCACAAGTTAGTAAAATAATGCTTAGAATAATCCAATACAGATTATTATATTTTCCTAAAGGGGAAGGGGAATGCCAGATGTTCAAACTGCTTTTATAAAAGGCCAAGGATTATGAAACATTTTTTTGCTGATGCACGCTGATAATTTAGAAAGCCAAAGAATACCAAAAATAGGTCAATATGTGTTTCATTGGCTATAAAAAGGTCAGGTTTATGTGCCAGGTTTATTAAACTGTAGAATGTCCTTAGGAAAATACGAATGCCAGAGCATCTTATCGCCCTCATGCAAAGTCTATACAGAGACTATACAGAGACAGAGATTTGGGTCACTGACTAATGAAAAGAAAATAAACAGCATAAAACTACTCCCTAATAATGAGAACTATGCAATAGTGGCAAATATCTGTAGCTAGGGTGCCGGATGAAGGTGGAGATTCGTTCTCCGAGTTTGTGGGGTTGGTTTCCAAATGTTTCATTACCAGGCTAACATCTTTACATCTTCAGAAGAGTTACGGGATGTCAGTGTCGGTGTTCTTCTGCTTATAAGGACTTCATGTGGTCAGTAGATACTGTAAAGGGTAAGGTTACATGAGATGAGGGTCATGTCAGATGATGGGCTTGTGATGGGTCAGGAGTGGATTGTGTATATTGTGATGGGTCTTGTGATGCGAACTATTAGCAACCATTTGTGGGAGAAACTTACACATAATGTAGCAATGTTTTGCTACTTTTAGAGAAATAAATTTACTTAACAAATAGTGCATATAAAAGCTATCAGAATGACCCAGATATTTAAAATGAAGAGGGGTAATCAACTGGTGGCAAATGTCCCTGGAGAAGACTTTTCACAAGGGGAATTGTTTAACTGGGTTCACATATAGTACAAGATTGAGCCCCAGTGTGAGTTGTTGATTTGTAAACCTGGCTTGGTAGATTGGCTGTACATCTAGCCAGCTGGAGCTTTTGTGACAGACCACCACTACCCAGATCATGGTTTAGCCTCCAGGCAGCCTGGCCAGCAGTAAGAATTCTGGGAAAGATAGTTTTAACAATCTATGGATTGCCAGAACTTGACACTGGGTCTCTTTGGATTCATTCATTGGACAATCATTTATCTAGAGTGGTATAAGTTCTCCTGCTTGAGCAGGGCGTTGGATTAGAAGACCCCCAATGTCCCTCCCAACCTTGTCATTTTATGTTCTAGGAGAACTGGCAATACAGAAGAATGTAGGCTATGCTTTCTGTGGTTATTGGGTTTCATATGAGCGTTTTCCTACACTTTCGTTCCAGGACAGCTGTGGGAAAAATATTAAACTGAGCTAAAGATAAAGCTGCCCTAAATTTGGGAACTGTGTTATGATACAAATATGAAACAGGTTTAGACACAAATATTTGCTTATTTTCAAGATTATAAAGTCTCGTCTTAGTTATGTGGAATATGTATCAAGGGACTCTGGATTGGAAAAAGATTACTGTCGTTTTAAACTAGACAAATAAACAACTATAATCTGTGTTATGTTGATGATACCCTGCTCAATGGCTGAGAATGCACATGCTAATAAGGAAAGTCAAGGAGCATAGTGAAAAACAGGATTATGATTAAAAATAAAGATCAGTCTAATGAGTATACTGTAGGTTCAGTAACAGTCTTAGAACTAACAATGAAGACACTGAGATGGTGGATATTTTAGGGTTCAGACAACAACAGTAAAAGACCAGCAGTCAAGAAATGCACCATGTATTAGCACTTAGTAGGGTAGCAATGAAGGCCTTGAAAAAGTTGTCATGATGTCTCTATATCTAAAGACTATCAAATAATGTAGACAATTATTGTCCTTGTGACACTCTATGAATACAAAAATTGTACTTTGAAGACATGGAATATAAAGAGTACTGGCACATTTGAACAATAGTAGTGGAAAATACTTTTTCAGAATACAAAAGATAGACTGAAAAACCAACAAATACATCATAGAATAAATCAATCCAGAGTTTTTAGTCCAAGGACAAATGATCAAGTTCAATCTATCATAATTTGAATACATTACATGAAGATTCCAATTCTTTAAGAAGTCCACAGTGCTGAGAAAAACAGAATGAAAGAGAAGGAAATGACAACTACCAACAAGATAGACAGACTCAATTACAACAGCAATGAATTGAGAAACTTAAAAGGCCAGATTGACAACAAAACATATTGGGGAAAATCTATCTATGCGGTCACTAAGGGTTAGGACTTAATCAAGTGAGAGGTAGTCCAGAGGTCATTATGATGTTTCATTCTGATCTCGTATTTTTCACCACACCCACAGGGTTTTTTTTTGTTAATTTTAATCAGAAAAATATCTACTAAGGAAGAAAAAATGTGGAATAACTGATACTTAGCTACATGAAAGACTTAAGACTCCAACTGAAGTCTTGAATTATTCTTGTTATACTCAATCACTTTTGGGAATCCTGTAGCAAAGCATTGCTGCAAACTGTTAAACAATAAAAACCACTTTGCAATAATAAGAATAAATACTAACTTTTCTATGTATGTATGAGAGAGACAGAGTGTATGCCTAACCTACTACTGCCCTACTCAATACTGTCCCGTCCCCCACATGATTGCACACTAATCCTTAATCTGCTAGACATTAGAATCTCTAGTTATTTTCCTGGAAATCTGTTCACAAGAGTTTAAGAACTTTCTGATAGGCATGTGTTCAGAGGTCTATTTCAGATAAAAAGCCAAAAAGGTGTTTCAGATCATGTGATCATGTGAAGTGTTAATACCACTTTACAATGCCTTGGTAAGGCCACACTTAGAATACTGTGTCCAGTTTTGGTCACCACGATGTAAAAAAGATGTTCAGATTCTAGAAAGAGTACAGAGAAGAGGAACAAAGATGATCAGGGGACTGGAGGCTAAAACTTATAAGGAACGGTTGCTGGAATTGGGTATGTCCAGTTTAATAAAGAGAAGGACGAGGGGGGACATGATAACCGTGTTTCAGTATCTCAGGGTTGCCACAAAGAAGAGGGAGTCAAGCTATTCTCCAAAGCACCTGAAGGCAGGACAAGAAGCAACAGTTGGGAACTAATCTAAAGAGAGCCGAGGTGGTGCAGCAGTTAGAATGCAGTACTGCAGGCCACTGCAGGCCACTTTAGCTGTGTTCAGCAGGTCAGTGGTTCAAATCTCACCGGCTCAAGGTTGACTCAGCCTTCCATCCTTCCGAGGTAGGTAAAATGAGGACCCAAATTGTTGGGGGCAATGTAAATATATATATACATTGCTTACTGGTGTACACCGCTTAGAGAATGCTTGCACTTAAAGCGGTATATAAGTCTCATAAATAAATAAACAATAATAAATAAATAAATAATCAAGGAGAGAAGCAACCTAGAACTAAGGAGAAATTTCCTGACAGTTAGAACAATGAATCAGTGGAACAACTTGCCTTCAGAAGTTGGGAATGCTCCAACACTGGAAGTTTTTAAGAAGAGATTGGACAACCATTTGTCTGAAATGATATAGGGTTTCCTGCCCTAGCAGAGGATTGGACTAGAAGACCTCCAATATCCCTTCCAACTCTGTTATTCTATTCTATTCTATTCTATTCTATTCTATTCTATTCTATTCTATTCTATTCTATTCTAGAGTAAGAATAGGTGAGTACATTGGCAGCATCCCCTTAAAGTAGCTGCATGGCAAGTAAGCAATCCCAGGAAGATATGGGTTAAGAGTTAAAAGCCTCCCACACTGTGTTCTTCTTTGCTCTGAATAAACTTTCTGAATTTGGATCCAAAGTGTCACA